TTTGATATATGTTTAAAGGATGCAGTATTTCCCGAACATTTTCAAAAATTAAGTTGAAAAAATTATTTTTTGTAAAAAAGTTGCTATTTAAAATCCCCCCAATGAGCAGATTAAGTGATAGATTTTCAAAATAATGATATCAAATAAAAGGTAAATATCTAAGGTTTTAGTATAAAACAAAATTATGTTGATTTGTTTATTTTTGAAAAAGTTATGGAAGTTTTAAGAAAAAAAAGTGAGAAAAATGACAAAATTTACCGATTTTTAAATTTGTAATTTTTTTGGATATTTCCCCTATTTGCGGGGAACGAGGGAATTTTTTTTAAATTTTAAGGGTAATGTCTTCAACTACATACGATTTGTGATCTTTTGACATATTTTTGAAAGAAATTGGTACAGTGGGAGCTAAGAAAAAGTGGCGACATAAAAAAAAAAAAAAATTAAACACATCACAGTAAAATTAATACCTTCTCTGCTTCGCATCGAAGCTAAAATAATTTGTGAAAAGAATCACAAAAAAATTAATAAATATCTTCATTAAAAAAAAAAAAAATGAAAATAAAGGGAAATATAATTTTTTTTTTTCTAAAAATTGTCCAAAAAGCACTTTTTATATTTAAATATGTCTTACCGTGTCTTAAACGTCTATTACGTTGTGTTTTATCTTGAATTTTATTTTTAATATATCTGATAATTTATATATTCAACTTTTTCAAATAAAATACAAAAATTATTTTGTTTGTAATATTCGTATAGTCTTGAGGTTTAACAAAATCTATAAAAAATACATAATGCAAAATTCTAGTAGATCAAAAGTTATATGATTCGTCAGAACATAGTGGGACACCTGTATATAATTCATCGACTGTAAAAGTAATACACCACTAATAGGGGCAATAGAGCTCTCACTAAATCATTTAAATTCTTATACATTTTATTATGAAGTTCTCTGAGGAGTTAAACTATTAAAATTAATTCAACTCTGTATTGGCTAACTCCAAAAAAAAAATGTTTTATTTATTTTTAAAACATTTTCTCCTCAAACTAAATATACTACCGATGACTTAATAAAATATTTTTTAAGTGATATTACAATTTAAATAACCTATTTAATTGTAATATATGTTTAAAATAAAAATAATTTAGTTTGATTAAGTAATACAGAGAGTTCAATGAATGTAAATGAAATTTTACGAGTCATATTCACATATTGTGGAATATTTGACCCTTTTTAATTCCGGAGTTCTATAGTTATTAATGTTAGCACGTCTTATCATAAATAATGCATATACCAATGAAAACTTGAAGACAAGATTTATATTCTTGCAAAATATACACGATGAAACAATAAGGTTTGCTTATTATGGCGTACCATGTTAATCTCCAATTGCTGGTACTGTTCACTGATCTTATGTATTATTAACGTTGACAAAAAATGTATTAATGAGTTTTTCTATAAGATATTTTTTTAATTTTCTTGGTTATCCCAAGTTTATTTAAAATGCTATGAATTTACAAAAATTATCCACATATGGCACATGAGGTTTACTTTTCGTGGTTTCACATAGAATTACTTGATTATTATCATTAAATTTATACAGACAATCTATAGATACTATCTGTATAAAGTGTAATCATGTAGAAGAAACAAACCGGTCACTGTTGCTGATTATTTCGCATCATTGCTAACCAACTACTCGTATATTTAAGCTAATTGCACACTAACCCATATAAAATCCCTCAGCTAATTTTCATACATATACATATAGTACTTATGAAGTATTAAATTTTTAAATAGTTTGACAAGCTTATTGTAGTAAAGTTTCATTAGACCACACACGACGTTTAATTTTTTTTATTTTGACAATTGATTAATATCTTATAATATTTACTATACATTATATGATATAATATGCATATATTTGAAAATAATGTACAGTTTTAAAATTGTTTTTTGAATACACTTTTAATTAAAAAAGTAAATTAAACAGCAGAAGAATACAAATTATTAGATAACGTTTTTTTCGACTCATTCTTAACAATTGGATTTATAGTTTCATTAAATAAAGTAATTCAGTTTTTTTGGTTTGTTTTCTTGTATTTAATCACATTAAATAATCTACATTGATATTTTAAAAAAAGATCAATGATTCTTTTGTGTATAAAACAAGTTGTTTTCTCTAATTTTTAACCTGTCGAACTCTCAGTGGTTTCATGAATGAGAAATGTTGTATTAAATGAAGTTGTAGCTGAATTTGTATTCATAAAATAATGTAAAAGAAATTCACAATTTGTTAGTCAAAACTAGTCATAAAATGTGACCTATACTTTTGAAATACATCGTGTGCTTAGAACAATTTCCATACTTTTGTAATAATATTGATTTGGTTAATATCAAATTATAATTAATTAATTCTATTTAATATAGTAAAGAATTTTAGAGTGACCGGTGGTATGGAATCTTGTAGACATCGATATTTTATATTAGACTTAATATATGTGATATAAATGATTTCTTAGATTCCTTGTTAAAAATTTATCATTGTGTCTATTTGATAGATTAAAAATACTTATGTATAGGCTAATGGGCATCATTTTAATATTCTGTAGTTTTTATTAAACATTAGTATTTACTAAAGCTAACTGGTGTGTTATCTACTTTTTTAGGTAACTAAAAAATTAGAACAGCAGAAAACTCTTATAATAATCATTAAAAACCAATCTTATTTGTTTTAATGTTACGTATTTAGTGTTTTTTTAAATTAAAACATTAAAAAAGCCTATTTTTTTCAACTGACATAAACGAAAAAAAAATAAAAAATTTTACGGTTTATTAATGGATAAGAAAAAACCAGGTTTGACCTAATATATCTTTTATTTTTTATATTCGACCTTTATGTAATTAGTCAATAGAAGTCAGGAATATCTATATATAGAGTATTCGGTAAGTAAGTCATTGATTGTAACAAGTGACCTATTTTCCTTACTTACTGAACACTCTATATAAACCTCTATCTATTTTAGTATTCACCGGATCTAATAGTTTCAAACTAATTGTTTATAGAATTTTTTGTAGATATACGACCTCTCCCGATTCAAATCTTTGACAATTTAGCTATGCCTAGGNGCCTATTTTTTTCAACTGACATAAACGAAAAAAAAATAAAAAATTTTACGGTTTATTAATGGATAAGAAAAAACCAGGTTTGACCTAATATATCTTTTATTTTTTATATTCGACCTTTATGTAATTAGTCAATTGTTTGTAACAATGAGAACAATAGAAACCCGTTTCCTGACTTATTGAACACCCTGTATATGAATTAATCTCTGTTACAAACTAAATTCATTATACTTTTTCACAATTAATTATTTTAAGAATTTTAAATATAAATAAGTTTAATTAAGATAAATTTTATGAATTTATTGTACATAAATTTCCTTGGATAGTAACTATTTTTTTTCTTATATTCGCAAAACTAAATTAATGTATAAAATTAAATTTATTTTATTCTGTTCTATATTTTGTTCCTTTAGTCAGTCTTTAAGAAAATCAATTGTTATATTTATTGGAATACTATGTCAAAAGAAATTAACCTATCAATATTTTTAAAAGCATAACTAGATCTTTTTTGAACTGAGTCATTATTATTTTTAACTGAAAAGCTATAGGTTTTTTGAATAGATGAAAATATCTTTACAAAATGTTTAGCCGAATTGTTAGTTGGGACATAAATATTCGACACAATAGGTCTCATATTATTTTCCAGCTTATATTTTTTGGCAAATAATATAGTTTAGGTAATTGAGAGTTTGAAATTTTAATAAAAAACCTGAACTTTTCTTCAATTATTAGTTTTGAACTATTGATAACGTTATATATTTCTTTATAGGGACAATTTGAATAATTTTTGATATTCTAACAAAATAATCTTTATTTTCAGTATTACTATGGAATTCCCTTATCTGATTTTATATTAAAGCAGTTTTTATTTTTTAAATCCTGTATGAGTCGTGAATGTTTTTCATTTTTTCTCCTAAACACCCTTTATTTACAACAGAATTTTTTTGTAAAAAATTTAAACTCTCTCTTCTTGCTAAGTATTGATTATTGAAATCAACACTTTTAACCCCCATTTCAATGTCTACTATGAGATATTCCATCGGAAATTTTTTTAGTAAAAAACTCGTTTTAAGACCCAACTTAGGTATTTCAGTTTCTTCAATGGAAAACACAACGTTTGTGTAATTTACTGGCCATGAGTACTCCATGTCCTAGGTGTAACTGTTTTTTACTTTCCACCGGACTTTTCATGCCCTCTTCTCTTTCAACTCTTTTATCAACTTAATTATTTATCAATGTATTTTACTTTTGGAATATGATATCACTGTCAAGTTTTAGTGGTGTTTGAAATCACGGTATAAATTTTGTATAATTATAATTGTTTTATTATTTATGAATTAATATAAACTTTCAATTGTGTAAACTAAAATTTTAAACCTGCAGTCATAACATTATCTCACACATCTGAACATATTATAATTAAAAATGTTCAACAAATTTTCAAAACTAGAATATTTTTAAATAGCCTATAGTGTGAAACTTTAGTACATTATCTATGTAATAAATCATAATATTTAAGTAAATGTTGTCTGTTTTAAATAAATAGTATAATAATTATACTATAACGAAATTATTTCGTTGTTCTTATCTATTGTGTCACAAAATTTAGTTAAATTTTTTTTTTAGTATGATATACTAAAGATGGATATATGCAATTTAAATTAATTTTTTAATTGAATTTATATTGTTATTTTTTATTTATATATTATTATTATACCTGTAATCTACAATAACATTTTTCCAGGAGATGATCTTTTGGGATTTAGTTTTAAATTAGCTGTTTTGATAAAGTTTTAACATGAGTGGTCATTTCGAGATGAATTTAGTGTGTATTTATAAATTTATTAAAAAGACTTACTAATAATTTTTTTTATAGGTGACATATTGCTCAATGAAAATGATAAAAACATAGAAAGGATTAAAAGAGACGGTGGTAAGTTTTTAATTTTAATCATTTAAACTTGTATATAATGTATGTATTTTTTGAAATTAGGATTTATAAAAATAAAACGTCTATGATTATTAAATGTAAATAACTGATAATAGTCTAGAATAGATAGGAAGGTTATATAACAAATATTTTAAAAACATACTACTTTACATATATTAGTTTATTAATTTATTAGTTAATAATCAATTTTTTTTTAAGTGAATGGGAAGTTACTTGGTCATTTATATTAACCAACTATTAATGAAACTTAATTATAATAGTTCATTGTATTAATGAAAACTTAAGTAAATAAATACTATACTTCATAAAAATATGTTACAGTAGGGATGTAGCATTGTTGGCTATGCTTGGTTAACAATTAATGATTTCTGACAGTGATTAACATCAATTTAATAATAAAACGCGCTTCCACGCGAATCTGTTAAAAAATTTAATAGAACTTCAATATCAAAAATCAAAAGTTTAAAACACATTGTCCAAACGATAGTTTCTTTTACTTACCCAATTTCACATAGAAATATAGTGGAGTAAAGATTTTTTCAATACTGTATAATACATTTCAAAAGATTTTATTTGATACATGGTTTTTAAGGTAGTGTAATTTTGATATATTTTTTTAAATTACTAATATTAATGGAATTATTTCTAGTATTCGACACCATTAGATTAAATAGATTTAAATCGGATTCTTTTAACTTATTGGTCATTAAAATCGGTCTAGCAAGAGATGAGATTTTTGTTGATAAACAAAAATAACACAAACTATCACAAAACCAATATCATCTCAGCTTCACTTTGAAGTCAAAGGGGAAAAGGACAAAATCAAATAATAATAATCCTAACACATTTTGTTTTTGATTCATAAAATAACTTTAAATTTCAAATTGATCAATTTTTTTCATAAAATTAGTTCAGGTTTCTAGTATCAAAATTTTTTTAAAACTATTAACAATAAATAAATGTTTTTTCTTGGTCTTTAACAATATTGTAAATAAATTATCACAAAAATTTAGGGCATCGTTGTTTCCTTCGTATACTTCTTAGTATGCCTGTAAATATATGCTTGTGCTGTTTAAGTATAAAAACAGATGAAATTTTAAATATTATAACTATACAAAAAGACTTTCTGAATTAATTAAAACAATGTTTAATATTTTTCACATTAATTCAAGTAATTTATTCTTTATAAATTAATATTAATTTTCTTATATAGTTAAATAAATTATAAGTTAGATAAATAATTGATTAACATAAATTCCTTCTTAATTATTTATGTATTTACAAAAAATAACATGTATATTTCAATATAAGTTGATTGTTTCAATAAATTTTGAAAGTCTTATATTTTCAAATAAAGATTTTATGTATTGTGTTATTTCTTGTCTATTCTGTCGCTCTAACTTTCTTCACCCCTATGGTTTAGATGTTACTGTATTATTATTGGATGACACCGGAAAAAAGAAGACTTCTCCGACTATAGGCTTATTATCTTCAATGGCTCGCACATTTGTTCAAGATGGTGTTACTACAGAGTACGCCACCCATGTTATTGGTACTACAGTTGGCGATCGTTATGCGCATATTGTTAGTACAGGTTCTCGAATTTTTTACGATAATATCAAGCCCACAAACAGACATGAAACTCCTGAGATTAATCTTCAAACCATATTAGATAACTTAGGTCAGCCACAAGTCTTCGAAAAACTTAAAGAAGATGAATCGAATTTCATTCAAGGAAAAAGTCTTGAATTTACTTCAACTACAGTACCACCACCTCTTAAAAATGTTCTTATTAGTCAAGAAGTTTCAATAAAGAAAAATTTTAATCTTGATATTAAGCCATCTAAAGTAGATCCTAAAAATAGTTTACCAACATTTACTGTGAAAAGTAATGATGAAAACTACTTACCACCGTTAGAAGAAACGACTAAGCATGATGAATTATCTCGTAATAAATTGAAACTCCCTAAGAATATTTTTAGAAATGGATTAAAGCCAATTGAAATTAAAAAATATGAAACTGTTACGTATTATGGATTTGCTGATTTTATGACAACTGTTGGCAATACAGTTATTATATTCATGCCTAAAACTCCAATTTTAATAGAACCAACTGGCGTGACTAGTATTAAAGGTGAAGCTACTTTACGACCTGAAGATATGATCAAGCCTTCAAAATCAGTTGAAGTCTCATTGTCCCATACTATAGCTCCTTCAATGAAAAAAATTGACTATTCTAATATAATAGAATCAAGTATGACTTCTTCAGAAGATACAATAGTAATACCTACTGAGCCTCTATCCCGCAGAATATCAGAAACGACAAGAGTGTTTAACAATGAACAAGAAGCATTGGGATTGTTAAAAACTATTGGAGGAGTAGATGTTATTGAGAGTAAAACTACAAGACTTACTACATTTTTCTATGGTACATATACTAATGGAAAATATACACAACTACAACAAACAGTATCAACTTTACTTACAAAGCCTACTCCTACGGTAAAAAGTCCTAAAATTGAAATTCCATCAACAAAAGTAACAACTACAATGAAAACAGCTGAAACAAAACCTATTACATCAACTACAGAGGAAAATAAATTAAGCACCACTACTGAATCAGAAGAAGATGTTTCTATAAAATCAGATAAAGAAAAAACTATTAAAAGTTCTTCAACTGAAGGTATCTTATATAAAACATATACCCATTTAACTACATTCTTTATACCAGTAGATGAAAGTATAACTACTTCGTCTGTAAAATCTAGAGTTGTTTTGTCCCCTGAAACTACTCAAATTATAACTACAATAATGACAGAAATAATGACTAGTACTACAGAAGAACCCCTAACAACAGATCCCGAAGAAGATAGTACGAAATATATGACAACTGAAGAAACAATAATTACTACTGACAAAGTTGAGTTAGAAAAAACAACAGAAGAAAAAGTTTCAGAATTAACTACTATTTTAAAAAAAGATGAAATTATAACAACTGAAAAATCAGTCGATGTAAACAATAATAATGGTGATATAGAAAATGAAATGATTTCAACAACAACGACTAAACCGGAAGATGAAGAGGTTGATATATTATTTAAAACAGTGTACACGACATACACATATTTAACAACATTTTTCAAAGAATCAACAACGAGTGTTTTAAGTAGAGAGGAAGTAGTAACTAATATTATTACATCCACTATAGAAAGAAATTCACTAGCTACTGATCCTGCATTTGCTGAACTATTTGCTAGAGAAGAAGGAAGCTTATTAAATTCAGCATTATACGAAACTGCTAGACAACCTAGAGTATTAGCCACTCGCGTTAGATCAGAAAACCCATCGTCAGTTTATAAAAATAAACCTCATAATAATTTATTTGCATCTACCTTGGATTCAGTTAATTACCAAAAAGAACTTGCAACTCCGCCGTTAGAAGATAGTATTGTAAAAACATTTTCAAAAACATATACTTATTTTACAACATTTGTATCTGAAGGTTCTACTAGTCTTAAAAGTCGTACAGAAGTTTATACAAACGTAATGACGCCCTCTAGTATAGTTAATTTGCAAATTGAACCAACGATCCTTAAAAATATAAAACCAACAGAAACCAAAACTACTGAAAATTATTATGAGCTAAAAGACCAAACACCGCATGAAAAAAATAAACTAGTAAATGAAAAAGAATTCAACGAAAATCAAAAGATCAAAAATATTATAAACCAAGAAAAAATTAACGCTGTATCGCAACCATTCAAGTATGATATGACAATAACAAGAAACCGAACAAATTTTAAAGATGCTACAGATGAAATACCAAAAAACGATATTATTGGAGAATCCATGATTGCAGATACAAAATCAATTTCTTCTAATAATATTAAAAGAAAAGTTTCCATTGAAGATGATGAAGATATGGAAAGTGCTGAAACTAATGAAAATTTTGAGCCATCACCTACACGTGAACTTCAAACAAGTTTCACAACATATACTTATTTTACAACATTTTACAAAGGAATTTCTTCCAGTGATGTTATAAGTCGCTTTGAAACAATTACTAATGTAGTTCCTCAATCTATACAGCCTACAGACGTTGAAAATTTGAACAGTGAACAAAGTACATTGCCAGTTACCTATTTTACAACTTATACATACTGGACTACATTGTATAAAGATGGAAGCAGTTTAGTTACTAGCCGTGAAGATACCCAAACCAATATTGTGACACCATCAGTAATCGAAAGTTCAAATCCTCCAGTAATAGAACCAACTTCTAAAGTTGATACTATATCTGCTAGTAAGCCAGTTGAACTTGAACCAACTACATTCTTCACTACTTTTACTTATTTCACAACATCATACCTCGGAAATGAAACGTTAGTGAATAGTAGATTAGAGACTGTTACAAGTGTTCTCAATACCCTAGGAATCGATCAAACTACTCCTAATGATGAGGGTGATGTTGAAGAAAGTGTAATTAAAACTGAACCAGAGAATGCATTTGTTGATAAATCAGCAATGCCAATCCTAAAACCAACCGGTTTATTATCATCTATTGCATCTCGGGAGGTAAATAATGGTGTAACGACAGAATTTATTACTGATGTCTACGGAACTTACATTGATGGGTTATATGCTCAAATTCTCGAAAGTAAATCGAGTACAATAGAAGGAACATCTACTCAGTCTGATCTAAAAAGTACAGACATTATTTCACTAAATGAAGGTAAAATTGTAGATGCAGATGAAATTAGTACAACTTTTTACACGACTAAAGCTATTGGCACTTATATTGATCAACTATATGCTCAAGTCATTGAGAGTACATCTTCAATTAAAGTGAATGTTCAAAAACAAACTTTAGATCCATCTACAACTATTTTAGGCAGTAAAACATACCGCACTGGATTAGTTAGTCTAATAGAAGGTACGAGTATAAAAGATTTAACTACTATATATTACGAAACCAAAGTAATAGGAAAAGTTATTGATAGCGAATATACTCAAGAATTTGAAAGTTCTTCTATGACAAAAACTGGCGTGAAACCTACAACAGTACAAGAAATTATTTCATTTTCGACCAAATTGAATGATATTTTTAAAGATATACCAACATCCCCTTCACCAGCAACAATCGAAAGCTCAAAAGGTGAAAGCGGAACTACCACAGAAAAAACAAATGAAACTTCAGAAGAAGAAAATTCTAATAAAAAGAAAACATTTCCAGTTATTAGACCTTTTGTTTCAAGACAAAGGCCAACCTTTTTACCAAAGAAAAAATCTACCGATAGTTTAGGAGCTGCAACAATTAACCGAAGTATTACTCCTACAATAGTTGCTACTCCAGCTCTTAAAACTAATGAAAAAGGGTTAGGATCTACCAGCCGAAATCGATTTGCTGGTGTTCGCAAGTCAAGCTCTTCGCTACCAGTTGAATCAAGTTTATCAGCATCTAGTACGAGAAAATTTTCAAGGTCTAAAAGTCCTAATACATCTTTAATTTCTCCTTCATTGAGTTTTAGAGGAAAATCTTCCACATCTGTTTCGAGAGTAAATCCGATATCATCGACTGCAAGTTTTGGAAATCAAAGAAAAAGTAGTATTAATTTAAGGCTTTCGAGTTCAAAATCAAATGAAGTTACACCCAAAAGCTCGTTACCTACCAGATTTAGAGTAAGGCCAACTGCTTCTACAGGTTTTAATCGCTTGTCGAGTACAGTAACAACAAGTACTGAAGACATTCCGTATAATAAGGAAATAAGCACATCATTGTTCACAGAAGAAACTATAATTGAAGATGAAGAAGTCACTACTCCTTCCACAATAACAGAGTCATCTAGAAGAGGAAGTAATCCATTACTTAAACTTCGACGACCCCTACTTCCCAAGTCACCTGCTACTACTCAATCTCCTAGAAAAAATACAGTTAGGACTACTGGAAAGACAACAACAAGTACAACAACTACATCTAGACCTCAAAGGCCAAAAACGCCTAGTCCTCTCATAACACGCAATAGACCAAAACCAGCTAATGGTTTGTTTCCAACAAGAGGGTTTGGTAAAAAAGAACAAGAGCAAGAAATAGTCAGTGAACCTAATTTTGAAGAAGAAAAATCACAACAAGAGTTAAAAACAAATGATGAATTAGATAACGATTATGAATCTTTAGATATTCAAATCCAAGAACCACAATCTAACACTGTTACTGAAACTGAGAAACCATCGAGAGGTAGTAAAACTTTTAACAATCAAGTACAAATAAGACCCTTCAATAATAAAAGAAACCGATCAAAAAGACAAGTAGAATATGGAAGTAAATATTATGACACTAGTAAAAATTATAGAAGTAGCAGACAGCCGTCAAGAAACACAAATGTGGATTATTATTATTACGATGAGTATGTAGAAGACACTCCAGCTCCAGTAAGAGTTCCTCCACCAAGAAGGCAACCAAGTAGGGCAAAACCTCAACAAAGAGTTGCTCCCACCACTTCCTCGTCTACATTTGGTAGATCACAGTTTACATTAAGAGAAAAGACTCCATTGAGTACATTACCGGCAACAACACAAAGAACATCAAACTATAGAAGAACTCGACCACCTATAGTAGAAAATACTACTCCTAAAAGATTACCAAGATTAAGATATTCAACTACAACTACACCAGAACCTATTCGTAATAATCGACGGTATACACCTTCTTCGCGGCGCCAAAACACACGATCAAGATATAGAGATCAAGAATTAGATACCAATATAAACACTCAAACTATATTTGACGGCACAATCACAGTTACTCATAAAATACCAACGGAACTTACAATACCTTTCATTGTTGGTAAAAATACTGAGTATAAACAAGTGTTAACAGCAAAACCTAGTCTCGAAATACTTGGCCCAAATCAATACAGTACAGTTACCGGTAAAAATGGTTATCCAACATTACAACTTATTAGAGAAGTAACAGAATCTCTACCCAATGGTTTAACAGAAATAACAAAATTTGTTATATTTGAACAACCTACCACTAGTATAACTTATACGCCTACTTACATAAGAGGTAGAAAAACATCATTCTCGCATATTGTACCGAGTACAATATATGAAGTTCGGCCTGAAGTCAGTACTGTTCAGCCTCAACTAAATAATGCTCCTCTTGCTAATTTGTTGCTTTCACAATTACTTTTAGGAAATCTAGGTATTCAACAAACTGTTAACCCACTTCTTGCTCTAAATTCAGCAATGGTTACTACTCAAGCTCCAGTAACTGAATTTAAAACAAAAAGTACAACATATGTGACTACAGTAACTAGTTCTTTATCAACAGTTCTTCCAATTACATTCAGTGGAAAAGTTATATCAACAACTGTTATTGATAGTTCTATCAACGTTATTACAGCTACAGAATATATAACAGAAACTATTGTAACTACACCAACAATAACACAACAACAAACTAACCAATTAAATACATTACTTTTACCTGCTTTACTTCAAGCTCAGCTTTTAGGACAAGCAACGACTTCAAATCATTTGTTGGGTAGTATTGATACAACACAAGAAGACTTACTTCAAGAACTAATAGAACCTACTCCAAAATATGAAGATGTATCACATGGTGTTGGAGCTAAACCATCGAAAAAAAAAATAGTTTCTAAAAAACCGCCAGATCCAGCGATACAACCTGCTGAATCAAGTGTAGTTACGTTGTATGTTTCTGGTAAAAGACCTGGTGAATTTAGTACTGTATTATCAACAGTGACATTTGATGAAACAGCAACTGTTCGAAAACGAGAAGTTGAACCTTCATCTGTTTTAGACTTAATGGCAACAGTGTTTGAAGATTTTTTATTATCTCCGACTAATGACGAACACTTTCAAAGTTATAACGAAGAAGAAACTCAAAGTCTAGAAAGTGTATTAGGTGATGTAAGTAAAAACGTAAAAATCGAGAATCGTGCTACACAAATAAAAGCGCAACCAGCTGAATCTACAATTCAAGAAACTACCGGTCATTTTTTATGGAAACGCTCCGCTGATTCTCCAGTTCAGCGGGAAAGCCTAAAATCTAAAATCTGGAGTTCCGGAAGTCAAATTAAAAGAGAAGAGCCTAAATTTTTCTTATCTATGAACACTTCTCTATTTGACTATCCAAAAAACCAAAAAAAACAATTAACCCAAAACATTTCTTATGTCGGTGTTAGGAAAAACTCTTCTTTTACTATCTTCAAAAATCTACAACAAAATATAATTGAGGCGAAAGGTAAGAAGTTTTAACTTAAAAGTTTATTTATTATTTTTTCTAACATTAGAGTTATTTTATTTTAACAGAGGAACAAAGAGGATTTGAAGATAGAAAATTAAGCTTCGCTACCAAAAAAATGAGTAACGGTGTCGAAGTAATAGTTGCTGGTGATAAAAGTACTTACCCTGGACAAACTAATATATTAAGAGTCTTACCTACATCTCCTGCAAAACCTATTACACTCGCACCTAGTACATTAACAGATCATATGCTCATGATGCTACCACATCCTATCAAACAAGTAATATGTTGAACGTTTTTATTTTTCTTAGAATAATGTTATGTACGGAAATAATTTTGAAATAAGTCTCACTATTTTACTTAGATAGTTAATTAATAAGAGTACCTATTTGATTTAAAATAAATTATCTCAAAGAAAAATAAATGGATAATAAACCAACTTGAGAAACTTGATGTTATCAGTCTATTTTAATAAGTAATTTTTAATTAAATCTGGTTTTTTGCTATTTATGATAAATAATGGATTTTTATTTAATTGGTAGGTACATTAAATATACTATTTTTCTTTAAAAACAGTTATTGTTTACTATTAAAAAGACAAATATCAGTTATGAAGTCTTTATATTTTTCTACTTTTATTGAATAAATTCAATTGCTTACTAAACTTTTAGGCTGTTTGAGTAACGTTTATTATCTAATAGTTCTAGATATTTAAATGTGATTAGTTCAAATTTTGAGCCAAAAACCATAATTACTATTCTGGAAAATAAACAAAAAATATTTAATAATGATCATAATATTAATTTATTGAAAATTATTTATATAATTAAAGCTACATTTTAATGAAATAAAATTATCAATTTTAATTTTAAATGAACAATTGTTTAAACTATTTTAGTATTTTATTTTAGTTTAATTTATTAATTTTGATATCATCAAAATCATCCTTTTGTATCTTTACTAATGAAACTTAATATATTTTTTAGAGCATAAATAATCAGTTTGTTACCAAGACTTATTTAACAACTTATACATATCTTACAACATTTTTGGATGGAGAAGCTACAATTGTATCCAGTAGAGAAAAAGTAGTATCAAATGTTGTAACTGATGAAGTTAATAAGATTACTCCGACTTCAACTCTTAGTCAAGTTACATTAACATCGAGCCCTAGTTTAGAAATTGGAGTTTATCATACTACATATACATATCTAAACACAATTGTTGATGGAGATCAACCTCTTGTAATGACTAGTCAAAAAACTGTAGCTAATACTGTTACTGCGCCTCACGAGTTCTTAACTCCTTTACAGTCTTCTGAGCCTGCTTATCATGATACTAATACATACCTTAATACAGGTAAAATAAAATTTATAGTTTAAACAACAAGAATAAATCTATGAGAACAGGTTTTAAAATAATACATCTTTTACTTGGCATGAAAACTGACTTCATGTTAAAAATGAAAAAAATACTTTGATATATCTCAACTAAGAAAATAATTGGGTATCTAGCGATAATATTTCATATTTTGTATTTAAAAGAAGTTTTACACGTCAAGCAAGGGATTTGAATTTTCAAGTTTGGCATGAAATTAAGGTTATTTTATATTTAACTGAAAAAAACTTAACAATATTTAATTTTTTTTTTCTGGTTATTAGAACAAAATGTAAGAATTACACAACTAATGGGGTTATACACATCCATTTTTATAAAATCATATATTTAAATATTGCCAAAAATAAATTCCCAAATTCATAAATTATTTTAAACGATAAGTTAAAAATAATTAAAGTTTAAGTCTTCTTATTATTTTTTATTATCTTTACGTCAAAGGTAAATTATTTATTTTGAAGGTGAAACAATTTTTTAAATGCTTATTGTAATATAACATAGATTAAACATATTTTTCAAAAAAATGTGAGTAGTGTTATTTACGCCTGGTGTATATAGATATTTATTCTAAATTTTATGAGTTAAGCCTTTTTTTTGTTTATTGAATTTATTAAATTTTTCATGAATAATAAAGAAACAACTTTTTTTAATATACAATCAACCAAACATGATTAAACAATGCCTTTCAATGCAACATACTTCAAATCAGGGCTAGGAACAAAAATGATATTTTGGGTTATGCTTCAGGTTTTATGTTATTGATAATTTCGGTTTCAGTTAATAACAGTTTTTAAATATATTTTATGTAATAAATTTTTTCATTTAGTTAAAAAGGATTCCTGAACGAGTTTTATGATTAAACAACTTTAGCTAAATGCTATATTAATATAAAAATATCTTATTAGTTTCAATTTGAAGTTAAAAAGGTATTGTACTGTATTTTATTTACCAGGGTATGCCTTTTTTTTGTGTCTGTCTATAAAAATTCTAAGTTTACACTAAAATTAATCATATATGTACACTATAAATTTATTAAATTTAAATATTTAATTTATTCAGTATTTACATATTGTTTGAAGTGATATCTTTGGGATATTTTTATTAAAAAGTTAAAATTTGTTAGTATGTATTGCTCTTTTAAAAATATTAATTATTACACAGAACTGGTTTAAATTGGGTAGATTTAAAAAGTAATAATAGAAGTTAGAATGTAAAATTTTTTTTTTTTAGCTTTAATTCGCATAAAAATGACTTTATAACTCTAATTATTTGTTTTTATGGACAAATATCAAAAATAGTGTTTATATTCAAAATTTGTTTACTCAAGGTATAGTTTTTAACTATAATAAATATATTTTATCAAAAAAATTAATATAAGAAATAGTACATATTTTTTTATTAATTTTCCTTATTTCAAATTATTGTTTTCGTGTTAATTACCTTAGCATAATTTTAATATATATTCTATATTTTGTTTCATATTTAGTTTCATTCACAAAAACTCTAAGTGATGGACCTGATTATACTATTGTAAGTACAGAAGATATATTAACTCAAGTTATAATAACTAAAACAGATAATTCACCAACAATGGATTATTCTCAATTAAAATTGGCAAATACTGCAACTGACGTTGTTAAAACGAATTATGCTACTTATTCATACTACAATACAATATTAAATGGTTCAAAAACTGCAGTAAATTCAGATATTTCTGTTTCTTCAGAAAATTTTTCAAAAAATCATACATCAACAAAATTTGAGGAAATAAAATCAATATCTACTGTAGAAAAAATGCCATTTAATGTATATGCTACTAAGACATATCTTACAACATTTACTTATTTTACAACATTACTCAAAGATAATAATGGAAAAGATCCATCAAGTACTCAAGTAAAATCAAGAACTAAAGTTATTCAAAATGTTGTTACAGAGTCAGTAGATACATCATTATTTAATTCAAATTATTTATCTTTTTTAAGTAAGTCTGTACAAAATGAAAATATTCCAATCACTGCTACTGCAACATTGAATAACGGCCAAAAATTGGAATTTACTGCAATGAAAGACACTTTATCTCAGAATAATGGTTATGATTATTCGGCAAGTTTAAGTCTTATAACTCCAACTTCTACTGAACTAGAAAAATTAAGTGTGGCAGAAATAACTACTAACGTATTCGAAAAAGTAAAAGAAACTATCAAACCTTCGAGTGTTACAAAAATATTACAGAAGACAGAATTACAAAAACCACCAAAGAAAAATTTACCTTCTAAATCTGAACAAAAAATACCCACTAACTCTTTTCCAAAACCAGATAATTCAAATACTGGTGGAAGTTTAATCAATTTTGGAACAATGGCTCAAAGTTTGACTGCATTAAAACCAGTTATTAGTGCAGTAGCTGGTATAATCCAAAATAATTACAGAAAAAATGATATAACTAAAAATGTACAAACCCAGCAAAAAATAACTGCAAAACCAATAAGTCAAGAAACTACTAGTAGATCACCTATTTATATTCCACTTGCAGATTCTTTAGTTTCTGAAAGTCAACAATACCCTGATACTGACGAAAGAAATCCTTTAGTAGGACCAGTAAAACTACCACTTGAAGCTTCTATGTTATCAGGAGGAATTCCAATTAGCCCTGGAGAAGTGATTACTACAAATAGTGACGTTATTATAGGAAAACCTTCAGTTTTAGGTCCTAGACCACTACCTGATAACTATAAAAATGAAGAATTACCTTTTGGAATGCAACCCTCTCCACCTTCACCTCAGTTTAAAGATAAAATCTCAAACCCAATTAATAATTATCCTAGGGATAACATAAAAAACAACATACTTAACTATCATCCAATACCTCATACTGATAGAAAAAATACACAACCAATGCGTTATTTTGAAAATCAGGTACAAAGTCAGTACCACTTTACTAATGCCCCAGTAAAATCAGAAGTGAATATTATACCATTAAGTAAACCAGATCCTTGGCCTACAAAAATAATTACAGATGTTCAACCACTAATATTAACTAATCTGGATGGTGAAAAAAATATTAAATATAGTAATCAACAGTTAGTAACATCAAACAAACCATACGTTGAACAATCATCACTTGATCCTTTATTAGTGAACATACAACCATCACAAGTTGCCCAAGTTGTAATACCACATGGAAGCCAAACTGCATTAATATATAGTGACCAACCTGCTATTGGTCATAGTTCAAAAGGTGAAATATTCAATGATCCACAACCTTATCCAGAAAATCATGTTAATCCTGGTTTTGTTGGTTTGCAAGTTTATGGTACTGAAAATCGTCCCATAAATAGTGTGACTTCAAAAATACCGGCTAATGCAATTAACTTTGATATACCAGTGTCACCAGCTGGTATAACTGTTGGTGACTCAGAATCTCACCACATAATTTTGTATGATAATGAAACTGGAAAAATAAAAACAAATTCTGGGCATACACAAAACTATATAAATAATAACAATAATTATTTAATTCCACCACCAATATCTCAAATTAATTCATTTGTGAAAAAACCAAATGGTGGATCATCTTCAGCCGAAGATGATTTGTTACAGTTTGAAGAAGGCGAAGTAACACAAGAATCAAAGAAAACACCATTGAGACCAGGAGAACTTCCATTTGGTGTTCATATTGATGGAATAGATGAAGAAGAAACTCCTATTATTACTGGTAAACCACATGGAGGTAATTTTAAAGGGGAAGAACAAATTGTTTCAGTAGGAAATCCTATAAAAACTGAAATAAATTCTGATAATTTAATAGCACTTAATAAAGACCAGCATAACTCAAAAAATAATTTACAGAACTTTAATAAAGAAATTATTACAAGTAGTATAGAGAATACAAATAAACCTAATAAAGTTCCCATTAACATTCCACCTAGAGATGATATTAAACAAGCTATGGATATGGACGAAAAATTACCACCATTACCACCACCCAAAAAAACTAATGTAAATGATTTAGATGTTCAAGGAAGTACTCCACAGCCCAGTATAATATGGCCTCAACATATTAATATTAATAACGAAGTATTGGGATTGTCTCCTCCTCCTGTTCCCACTTCAGCTACCTATTCCTTAAAATATGATAATGTAACATCAAAACTACAAGTGTCCAAAAGACCATATCCTCCTAAATTAAGACCAACAACTTCACCTCCATATCAGTTTGAAAAACCTCAAAACAAGCGACCACCACCTCCATATCAACCATCTGGTGATGCTATACTGAAACCATTATCAACAACTGCTAAGGTTGAACTTCAAAATAAACGTCCTCTAATTCCATACCAACACACTGATGATGTTATATTAAAACCATTACCAACAACTGCAAAAGTTGAACTTCTACAAAAATGGGAACTCTCATCAGTAATAAAAACAAGCAATAAACTATACCAGCAAGAAAAACCTGAAATGAAAAATCCAGAAAAAGTTACAGTGAGTCAAAATTCATCAATAAAACCTTACGTATATGAGACTGTAAAAGAAAAAACAATTTTACCCAGTATTCCAGTCACTAATGTAATTCCCACAATTATTACTCAACAAACAAATAAATGGCAAGATTACAATTCAATTTTAAGCACTGAAGGTAGGATAGAAACAATTCAGTCAACAACTGAAACTCCAGCACTGACTTATTCTACACAAAGTATTATTAAAGTATACACTATGCCAAATAACCCAATAGCTAAACCAACTACTAAAACAACTGATTATCATAGTGTGATCAGTGTTGTAGTAAAAAATGAAGAAAAACCTCATGAAAAAAGTAATGGAGATCTTATCGATAGCCCAACAACTCCCAAACAAAAGTCCCAACTTAGACCACAAGTAACAATTTTACAACTTCCAGAAAGACCTCCATTTATGGATGAGTTCCACATGCAAATTCAACAGGCTTCATTATTGCCTACAAGATTTGTAACGCATACACAAACATTATCTGTAACAATTACAGAAACAACAGTTTTGCAGAGCGATGGATTGGAACCTTCAACACATACACTTGTTCTGACTAAGACACAAACATCAACATTAGTGGACACAGTAACAGAATTTCACACTTTGGTTAAGCCAACTCAAGTATTATCAACAATAACTACAACTGTTCCAGTTTCCATTCATTCTGAACCAACTTCATCAATTCCAATTATTGAAGGAACCAAATCTAATACGGTTAATATTGCTCCAGATGAAAATGAAACACTTTTAGTGGTCATGACTGACAAGAAAAATAGTAATCAACATAATCACAATCATGGAATACCACCTGAAATTCAGGTGCCAGATGAAACTAATGAAATAGGACCGAGTGACGTATTGTTAAGTGGCATTTTAACTCATTCATCTGATTCAGAATGTAAACCTGAATGTAAGGCATCCAAAAATGAAATTTGTCAAAAGGTTGAAAATGTTATGCGGTGTGTTTGCCGTCCTGGTTTTGCAAGAATTTTTATGGATAAGCCTTGTAAACGTAAGTATTCTAAAGCA